CCAAGGGCACAAATGCCAGGGCTGGAAATTCATCCCCAGGTGGGACTGGCAGTCCTGAAATACTTTCAAGATGGGAAAATTCACCTCAATGGAACAACCAATGGGACAAAGGTCCCAACCATCCCATACGGGTCCAAGCCAAGGTCCTTCGTTCCCGTCTCCATGTGGAGTGTCCGTGGGGATGGAACTGGTGCAGCACCACCATAACCCCAGGTCTTCTCCACCCCCAGGGTGTCATGGAGAGCTTCCTGGGCACAGCCATGGCAGGTTCCATGTTCTGCCTCTTCGCTGGGCAGCCCCTCATCATCCTCAGCAGCACTGGCCCCATCCTCATCTTCGAGAAGCTGCTCTTCGACTTCAGCAAGTAGGTGCTGGGTGATCCCAGGGGCAACTGGGTGTTATTGATCCAGTTATTAAAATTATTGGAGAGAGGCCTCTGCTCAAATTAAGGTGCAAATGAGACCATGTGCCCAAGTCAATAGGACAGATTTTACTGAACAGTAAAAAGTGAGGCAGAGTGAGACGGATACAATGAGATAGGGAAAAGGAGGGGAAGGAGGAGAGGGACAGAGAGAGATTAAATGTGTCTTAGTTTAACAAGATTGCAACTTAGAAATTAAGAAACTTCAGGTGGAAGTGTGGAAAAGGAAAAAGAACAGCCTTTTATTGACAAAAATCTGAATGAACAACAAATGGTGCAATCAAAAACTTTCAGAAGAAAAAAACAAAGTCCCAATTCCCTCGGGGGGGGAGAAACCCACGGCAACCCGGGGCTGGGGGGAAGGAGGGGAAACTCTCCTGGCAGTTCAGCAGCTGCTCACAGCCCCCTGTGCCCTCAGCCAGCAACACGGAATCCCTCACTCTGAGATCGGTCGGTCTCCTCTCTCAGTCGTTCTCACCTCGAGTGCTGTGTCCAGCTCTGGGCCCTCAGCTCAGGAAGGACATTGAGGTCCTGGAGCAGGTCCAAAGAAGGGCAACAAGGCTGGTGAAGGGACTGGAGTCCTATGAGGAGAGGCTGAGGGAGCTGAGGGGGCTCAGCCTGGAGAAGAGGAGGCTCAGGGGAGACCTCCTCACTCTCTGCAACCCCCTGATAGGAGGTTGTAGCCAGGTGGGGGTTGGTCTCTTTTCCCAGGCAACCATCAGCAAGACAAGAGGGCTCAGGGTCTTCAGCTGTGCCAGAGGAGGTTTAGGTTGGATATTAGAAAGAATTTCTTTGCAGAGAGGGTGATCAGCCATTGGAATGGGCTGCCCAGGGCAGTGGTGGATTCTCTGTCCCTGGAGGTTTTTAAGCAGAGACTGGATGTGGCATCAGTGCCATGGGCTGGGAACCGCAGTGGGGTTGGATCAAGGGTTGGACTTGATGATCTCGGAGGTCCCTTCCAACCCAGCTGATTCTATGATTCTATGATTCTCCACGAGGTGTCCTGTGGGGAAAAAAGACTTCCTCTCAGGAAAAGAAAAGGAGGCCACTGAAACTGGGTCCCCTGCCCCCAGCTCTATCTGGCTGGCCGACAAAACCCAAAAACCTGCGAACCAAAAATCCCCCCAGGCCGTGTCCCTCCAGCCACACTTGCAGAAGATCCCCCCTGTCCCCGCTCTGCTCATCCCCCACCCATCCCTGACTCCCCCATCCTGGAGGAAACAGTTGGAGGAGGGGGAGGAACGGGACACCAGGGAAGAAATTCCAACATCTCTTTTCAAACCTGTGACAAACAGAAAACGTGTCACCGCTCTGTTGTACTTGATGGTGTCCCATGGTCCTCTCTCTTCTTCTGGTGTTCTCAATGGCGAAGGTCCCACAAGACACAGAGCCCAGTGGATTAATTTATGTTCAGGAGATGCCAGGCACCTCTCCTGGAGGGGGGAAGCTTTACAGACTCTTGCAACAGGCTCTGGATTTGTTGCCTCACTTGGATCTCCCACAGTCCCCTGGTGGTGGGAGGCCTCAGGAATGAGTCTGGGGGTCTTTTATGGTTTACGACCCTTCTCAGCTGCCTTTCACATGAATGTCCCATGTGTGCCTGGTCTTCCTGGAGCAGGAGAGGGGGTTACTCCTCAGTGGTGCTGTTTTGTGTGGAGATTTCACCATCACACACCCAAAACCCTTCTCCTCCACCCGCTGAGCCCAGCCAGGGCTGATCCTTACGCTGAGTTTGGCTTTCTTTGTGGACACATTCTTCTTCCCTGAGCCCTGTTTACCTCTCCTTAGACCTGAGATAATTGGAGAACAGTCTTATCTCAAGTCTCACAGTCCAAATTCCAGTCAGGAGGCACGTTTGGGAGGGGGGTTTGCTTTGGTGGTCCCAGATGGACAGTTGCTTCCTTGCAGTTTGGCAAAAAGTCTTTCCATGATTTTGACAATGTTTAAGGCATTAAACAACATTTCAGTCTCTCACACCATCCATGCCAGGGTGGGAGATGTCCTCCAGCCCACAGCGTGGTCTCATGGTGTTGCTCTTTCCTTATCCCGATTTTCAGAGGCAACGGCATCGACTACATGGAATTCCGCCTCTGGATTGGGCTGCACTCGGCCCTACAGTGCCTTATCCTGGTGGCCACCGATGCCAGCTTCATTATAAAGTACATCACACGCTTCACAGAGGAAGGCTTCTCCACCCTCATCAGCTTCATCTTCATCTACGATGCCATCAAGAAGATGATCGGGGCCTTCAAGTACTACCCCATCAACTCCGACTTCAAGCCCGACTACGTGACCATGTACAAGTGCGAGTGCATTGCTCCCGACCCAGGTGAGTACACCTCCTCCTCGGGGCTGGCCGGGAACAGGAACGGGGTGGGAGGGTCCTGTCGTGGATAAAATCCCACCGGATCGTTGGCCAAGGACGTGGGAAGAGGCAGCAACCTCGTCAGCGTGTGGTGGAGAGACATCATCCTCACCCTCCTCCTCTGAGGGGGATCCTGAAGGTGGAAGAAGAGCCTTATCCCTAATGGATGAACGTCGGTGCCTTCTGGGACACAGCAAACGGTGCCAAGTGGAGAGACTCATCGTCCTCCTCCTCTGAGGGGGATTCTGAAGGTGGAAGACGCGTCTTGTCCCCCAGGGATCAACACGTTGGTGCTTTCTGGGACACAGTGAATGGTGCTGAGTGGAGACACCTCGTCCTCATCCTCCTCTGAGGGTGATTTTGAAGATGGAAGAAGAGCCTTGTCCCCCATGGATGGACATCTTGGTGCTTTCTGGGACACAGTGAATGGTGCTGGAGAGTCAGGATCTCAGCCTGGAGCAGCCAGACCCGGATGGATAAGAAGGAAATAGGGAAACAAAAAGACATTTTAGATCATTCACTCCAACCTGCTGCTGATGGGAACTTACTCTCCAGAAAACACCTGGAGTAGTTTTGTCCTCCCCGGTGTCTGGGACACCCCAGGATGTCCCAGTTGGGTGTGGAAACCCCCATGGACTGATTTTTCTCCTGTTTTTTGCTCCTTTTCAAAAAGGAGAGGCCATTGGGCTCTGAGCAGCTGGTCTTTCAATGGCTGCCCTCGTTTTGCTCTTGGATAGACATCCTGGATGATCCATAATCCGAATTGTGCGGCTCAGATGCTCCTGAAGGAAGCACCTGGAAGGGAGTGGAGATTTTGGGCAGTGACCACCTGCTCTCAGAAGAGCTGAATTGATTTAAAAAGTCTAAATAATAACAGTTTGGGGGAGCGTCAGCTGCAGACGGAGAAGGCTGGTGGGGAATGAAGGTGATGGTGAAGCTCTTCCCAGAAATTAAAGCATCCAAGACTTTCCAGCCAACATGCTCCCAACACCATTCCAAGGAGACATTTGACCTCCGTGATGGGAATAACACGTCTTTGGTTTAATTTGGTATTTTTGCTCAATTCTTCTCGTCCGCCACCTGCCGAGTGACGCCATCCCTTGGGATTTGAAAGCCTGGAGGAGCACCCAGAACCAACACAGTTCCTTCCAAATGAACCCCCCAAATCTGACCTGTGGGAGGGCAAAGGCTCAACGTAATTCCCGGGAGCTGAAATACCCCGATGGGAACCGTGACCACCCACCCGTGTGTGCCGGAATCTGCCCGGCAGCACCCGCTGCCTTGGCCTGAGGCAGGAGGAAGGCGAAGCCTTCAGCCTCCAGGGAGGTTTCCCCCTTTTCCAAGCCCTCATCCCGACAAAATCCCGAGCAACCGAGAGGCATTTTGCACCCCAAAAACCTCCAACCTCTTTGCAACCCGTTCCTCGCCCTCGCTGCCCAAGGCAGTGATTTTCCACATTGGATTTTCCACTCCTCTAGATAATGAGAAATTCTGTTTATTATTTCCCCTTCCATCCTTTTTTTTTTTAATCATCCTTTTTTTTTTAATTAGCTCTGATTTTTGATCATTATAACTGATTTGTCCCATATTTGTCTCTGCTGCACACATCAATTTGGGCTGATTTCAATCTCAAGTGAGTATCACCTTCTAAATATTAAAACTATTTTAATATTTGATACTCTTCCCCCGTGAGGGTTTTGTTGTTATTTTTTTTCCATGTATTTTACTTTTCTCTCTCTGCTAAAAGGGTTTGCGTAGAGCCCTTAGGGGTCCTCTCTTAAATACCCCCAGCGCTGTGCTGCCCTTTAAGTTGTAAAAAGCACAAATAAGGCCGGTTTCTGGAAAAATAAAAGGATGTGGAGGGAAGAATCATATTAATAATAATGATGTTTTTAGTGCTGGGTTTGCCAGAGCCTGGTTTTGGCAGCCCCCGGGTCTCTGCTTCTAACCCAGCAATCGCTTCTCCTTCATTAATCCTCGGCGCCGGGGATGGAGCGGCAGGTCCGGGGCAGCCGAAATTCCCGCTTGGCACAGGAAGAGGATGGACCGGAGGGAAGAGGGGAGGGCAGAGCAGCCCCGGACCCCTCTTTGGGGCACCCAGAAACAACGTGGGCGCTCCTGAAGCCGCGGAGCTGCGACCCCGAAGATCCCGGAGCCGCTTTTAGTCCTGGAAGAGAAGGCGCCGGGGGCTGGAAAAGATGGATTTTTGCAGTGAGAGACATCAAAAAACACCCCTAAAATATTTTTTTAAAACTACTAAAACAAATTTAAAAAGGCCAATTGGGAACGATTGGGTGCCGCCTCCCCAAAAATAACAGGCTGCTTTTTCAGTCTTTACCCCCGCAGTTTTAAGCCGCGGGTGTCGGGATGCTCCACACCCCCCTGCCGGCGGCTTCCCTGGGAGGCTCCTAAAAATTTTAGGAGCTGGGAAGCTCCTAAAAATACCCCGGCCCTCGCCAGCCCTGGAGGGAGAAGCCGCCGCGGGAGAAGCCGCGTCCTCCAGCGCCGCGTGGGATTAATCAGGGAGAAGTCGCTGCGGGGTTAGAAATGGGGGGGGTTCTCCCCAAATCGCGCTCCGCCCTCGGGATGCCGATCCCTGCGAGGATGTCCTCCACCCCACTTTGCTTCCCGTGCCGGATCCCGGCTGGTTTGAATGCCAAAAAAAGCTCGATTTTAGCCAAAAACCTCAATAACAAACTCCTTTCCCGCAGCCAACGCGACCTTGTTCGATGCTTCAGCTCCAGTGGCACCGAACACCACTAACGTTTCTCTGGTAAGCGGGTTTGCTCATCCCACCGGGAATTTTGGGACGAGGGAGGGCGGATCTGAGGCACTCTGGCGTGCAGGGAGTGAGTTGTGCCAGCTTGGAGTGAGGGAAACTCAGATTTCTGTTGATTTGGGTTCAGCGGCACCAAATCCTCGCTTTTTTTGCCCAAATTCATATCAGCTCTGGGGTTTTCCGGTAGTTTTGGGGCTCCCAGTGGCAGCAGCCCTGGGAAATGCCCCTTTCCTTGCATGCTGGGATTACCTAAATTCCTAATTTTGGGGGTTTGATCAGGAAATCCCCCTTTCCTTGCACACTTCAATCACTTAAAGGACTAATTTTGGGGGTTTGGCCAAAAATTACCCTTTTCCTTCCATTCTTCAACTGCTAAAAATGCTAATTTTGCCTTTTTTACAATGAAATGCCCCTTTCCTTGCACACTGGGATTCCTTAAAATAATAATTTTAGGTGTTTGGCCAAGAAATACCCCTTTCCTTGCAAGCTGAAGTTGCTAAAAGCGCTAATTTTGCTCCATTTGGTCGGGAATTCCCCCTTTCTCCACACGCTGCAGTTCCATCAGATGTTAATTTTGCCTTTTTGGGCTTTCTCCCCAGTCCAATGCTATTAACCTCACAGCTCTGGACTGGACTCAGCTCAGCAAGAAGGAATGTCTCAAATACGGCGGCAGCTTAGTGGGAAAATCCTGCAAATTTGTGCCCGACTTGGCCCTCATGTCCTTCATCCTCTTCTTCGGGACCTACTCCATGACCTTGACCCTGAAGAAGTTCAAGTTCAGCCGTTATTTCCCCACCAAGGTAAGGAAAGCACCGGGTTTTTTTATCCATTTCTCCAAAAAAGAGATAAAATGGAAGCTGTCGGCCCTTTTGTTGGATGTGAGGAACTCTAGGAAAATAAATCCATATTTTTAGGAGGCGTTGGAAGGAATTGGAATCTCCTCGAGCTTTTAGCCAGTGTCTTATGGACTTCTGTAAAGCCTTCAAAACAGTGCCCCAGAATATCCTTCGCTCCACGTTGGAGGCAGATTTTAATGGTGTTTTAGATGGATAAGGATAAGGAATGGGTTGGATGGTCACATCCAGAGGGAAGTGGTCCCAACAGCTCAGAGTCCCCATGGATACCAGTGAGCAGTGGTGTCCGTGTGGGACCGGTGTGATTTCATAACTTCATTAGTGACGTAAATGAAGGGGTTGACACCAAGCTGAGGGTGCAGGTGCACTCCCAAAGGATGGGATATTGGGAAGGAATTCCCCCTGTGAGAGTGATGAGGGACTGGGATGGAATTCCCGGAGAAGCTGTGGCTGCCCCATCCCTGGAAGTGTCCAAGGCCAGGTTGGAGCAGCCTGGGCTATGGAAGGTGTCCGTGCCCATGGCAGGGGGTGGGACTGGATGATTTTTAATATCCCATCCAATCTAAACCATTCCATGATTCCATGATTCTATATCTTGGCTCTCACATGCTGAATAACCCATAACCTTGTGACAAAAGGGGAGAAAAACCTGGAGTTTTGTGGGTTATCCCTGCATGAGTGGAGTTGGAAACCCCCAGGGAAAGACACCGAAGCAGGAGCAAACTCCTCCATCCCATTCATTTTCCTCTCCATCCCACTAATTACCCTTTCCACCCCCATTTCCCTGTCTTGCCTCCAGGTCAGGGCTTTCATTGCTGATTTTTCCAATGTCTTCTCCATCCTGATTTTCTGTGGAGTGGATGCCTGTTTTGGACTGGACACCCCCAAACTCCACATTCCCAATATCATCAAGGTTTGGCCAAAAGGGGGAGACCCCTCACCTCTCCCACACTCTCTTTCCAGCTCCTCACTAATTTTGGGGGAAAAACACATCTCCTGCAGCGTCCTGGCATCTTCTTAAAAGCTACTTTGTCTTTTCTAAGGAATATTCTAATTCTGTGACTTTCTTTCCTCCCCTTTCTTGTTGTTTTTCCTCCCTTTTCTCTCTCTCTCCCTCCCGGCAGCTCCGTAAACTCATTAGTGATTTCTCTATCTTTATGTCCATACTAATGTTTGTGGGGCTGGATGTGCTTTTTGGACTCAACACCCCAAAGCTCCAAGTGCCTACTGATTTTAAGGTAAAAAAAAAAAGCAAGAAAACCCCATTCCAGAAGAATTTCTCTTCCCCAGTTTCTCTTCCCCCATCCAGGGTTTTGCTGTGGGTGATGTGGGGAGTCCCAAGGGCAGAATTTGGTGTTGATGTGGATGCTGGGGGTGGTTTGGGTGCAAAGGTGGATTCAGGGGTGGATCTGGGATGGGAGGTGGGGTGATCTGGGGCTTCCCAAAATGTCAGTGGTTTGTCCCCCTCTGGTTTGTCCCCGTCTGGTCCAACCCCCCTCTGTTCTCTCCCAGCCCACCCGTTTGGACCGAGGGTGGTTTGTGTTCCCCTTTGGGAAGAACCCCTGGTGGGTTTACCTGGCCAGTGCCCTCCCTGCCCTCCTGGTCACCATCCTCATCTTCATGGACCAGCAGATCACGGCCGTCATCGTCAACAGGAAGGAGCACAAGCTGCGGGTGAGCCGGGACTGGGCCTTGGCACCCCCTGAGCACCCGATTTTGGGGCAGTTTGGGGGGGCTGCTGCAGGTCAGGGGAGTGAAGATGGGGAAGGGCCTTGATTTGAAGCCATGTGAGGACACTGAGGGCACTTGGTGTGTTCAGCTGGAGGAGACTGAGGGGAGACCTCACTGCAGTTCCAGCTCCCTGGGCAGGGGCAGAGGAGGGGCAGGGACTGAGCTCTGCTCTGGGGGGACCAGGGACAGCACCCAGGGAATGGCTGGAGCTGTGTCAGGGCAGGGTCAGGTTGGATCCCAGGACAAGGTTCTTCCCCCAGAGGGTGGTTGGGCACTGCCCAGGCTCCTCAGGGCAGTGGGCACAGCCCCAAGGCTGCCAGAGCTCCAGGAGGGTTTGGATGATCCTCTGGGACACAGAGGGTGGGGATGGGCCTGTGCAGGGCTGAGGGTTGGACTGATGGTCCTTGTGGGTCTCTCCCAGCTCAGGATATTCTGGGATTCTGTGGGGTTTGCCCTGGCTCAGCACGTCCTGCAGGGCAGGGGATCCCCCTTTCCTTGGCAAGCTGCAATTTTGGGGTGACAAACCCTCTGGGGGGCTAGAGGCATGTTATGCTGTAGGTAATGGGGTGCAGCAGGGCAGAGGGATACGGAGGGGTGCAGAGTGGTGATGTGGGGTAATGTGGGATGTACCGTGGTGATGAGGGGTGATACAGGGTGATGTGGGGTGATATGGGGTGCAGGAGGGTCATGCAGGGTGCATGAGAGCATCACAGGGGCTACAGAGAGGTGTGGGGTGCTTCAGTGGGATGCAGGGTGCCCCATGGCAATGCTGGGTGCACTGTGGCCATGTGGGGTGCAGCAGTGATGGGTGCACCAGGGTGCCCTGTGGGGGATGCAGGGTGCCCCAGGCAGTGTGGGGGTCCTGCAAGGTGATGTGGGGTGCTTTGGGATGATGTGGGGTGACACAAGGGGCACTGTGGCAGTTTGGGGTGTGCCATAGTGGTGCTGGGTGCACCAGGGCACTGTGGGGTGCATGAGGGTGCTGCAAGGTGCTCTGCAGCTGTCTCAGGATGCACGAGGGTGATGTGGGGTGCCCCATGGCAGTGCTGGGTGTCCTTTGACGACATGGGGTGCACCAGTGTGATGTGGGGTGTGCCAGGGGGTGCACTGTGGCAATGTGGTGGGCATCGGGGTGCTCTGCAGCAGTACCAGGGTGCTTTAGGGGGATGTAGGGTGGTGCTGGGTGCATCAGTGGGATGTGGGGTGCACCACAGCAATGATGGGTGGTGCAGGGAGATGCAGGGTGCTTCAGGGGTGTGTGGGGTGCTTCAGGATGATGTGGGGTGGTGCAGGGTGCACCATGGCACTGCGGGGTGCATGAGGGTGATATGGGGTGTATGAGAGCAATGCAGGGGCTTCAGGGGGATGCAGGATGTCCATGGCAATGTGGGTGCATCAGGGTGATGTGGGGTGCAGGAAGATGCCGCAGGGTGTTCTGCAACTGTCTCAGGGGGCTTCAGGGTGCTGCAGGGTGACATCAGGTGCCCCATGGCAGTGTGTGGTGCATGAGGGTAATTTAGGGTGCACCACAACAGTGGTGGGTGTGCCAGGGTGATGCAGAGCAACGTGGGGTGCACCAGAGTGATGTGAGGTGATGCAGGGTGATGCAGGATGTACCAGGTCGATGTGGGGTGCTCCAGGGCGATGTGGGGTTCACCATGGCAAGGCTGGGTGCACCACAACAATGTGGGGTGCCCCAGGGTGATGTGGGGTGATGCCAGGTGCCTCACGTCGATGTGGAGTGCTCCAGGGTGATGTGGGGTGATGCCAGGTGCCTCCTGGCAGTGTGGGGTGCCTCAGGGTGATATGGGGTGATGTGGGGTGATGCAGGATGCACCATGTCAATGTGGGGTACCCCAGGGTGATGTGGGGTGATGTGGAGTGATGCAGGATGCACCATGTCAATGTGGGGTGCTCCGGGGTGATGTGGGGTGATGCCAGGTGCCCCCTGGCAGTGTGGGGTACCCCAGGGTGATGTGGGGTGATGTGGGGTGATGCCAGGTGCCCCCAGCAGCATGAGGGTGCTGTAGGTGCCTCAAGGCCACTCAGGGTGCCCCGTGGCACTGCACGACCCTTTAGGGGGAGTGCACATGGGGGGACACCCCACCTTGGCGGGCTCTGGGGCAACCACAGGGATATCCCTCGACCCCACACTCCCCCCTCCCCGACCCCCTGTGTGTGCTGTGTTGCAGAAAGCAGCGGGTTACCACCTGGACCTGTTCTGGGTGGGCATCCTGATGGCCGTGTGCTCCTTCATGGGGCTGCCCTGGTACGTGGCCGCCACCGTGATCTCCATCGCCCACATCGACAGCCTGAAGATGGAGACGGAGACCAGCGCGCCCGGGGAGCAGCCGCAGTTCCTGGGGGTCAGGTGAGGAAGGCTCGGCCCTCCCCTTCCTCGGGCCGGGAATGGGGGGGGAACCCAACCACAGCCGGCTCATCCCGCTCCTCCCACCCTTCCAGGGAGCAGAGGGTGACCGGGATCATCGTCTTCGTGCTCACGGGGATTTCGGTCTTCCTGGCCCCCATCCTGAAGGTAAAACATTCCTGTTCCCACGTCTCTGTTCCCTCCCTGCAAGAAAAAAGGGACTCTGCCCCCTCCCACGGCCCCCATCCTGGAGGTAAAACATTCCTGTTCCCACATCCCAGCTCCCTCCCCATGGCCCCCATCCGGAAGGTAAAACATTCCTGTTTCCATCTCCCTCCCCAAAGAAAAAACTGGATTCTTCCCCCTCCCCACGGACCCCATCCTGGAGGTAGAACACTCCCATTCCCACATCCCTGCAAATGTCCAGGAAAAGCTGAATTCTGCCCCCTACCATGGCCCCACCCTGGAGATAAAACATTCCCATTCCCACATCCCTGCAAATGTCCAGAAAAAGCTGGATTTTTCTCCCTTCCCATGGCCCCCATCCCGAAGGTAGAACATTCCCATTCCCACATCCCAGCTCCCTCCCTACAGAAGTCCAGGAAAAGCTGGATTCTGCCCCCTCCCTGTCACCCCCATCGCGGAGGTAGAACATTCCCATTCCCACATCCCTGCAAATGTCCAGAAAAAGCTGGATTTTTCTCCCTCCCCATGGCCCCAGTCCTGGAGTCAAAACATTCCCATTCCCACATCCCAGTTCCCTCCCTGCAAAAAGGTGGATTTTGCCCAAAGGTAGAACATTCCCATTGCCACATCCCAGCTCCCTCCCTTTAGATATCCAAAGAAAAGCTGGGTTTTTCCCCCCTCCTCATGGCTCCCTGAGTTGGTCCTTGTCCCTAGGAATGAGCTGCTGCCTTCCCTGGGCTGAATTCCATGTTTTTTCCATGTTCCCAGTACATTCCCATGCCAGTGCTCTACGGTGTCTTCCTGTACATGGGGGTGGCATCACTGAACGGCATCCAGGTGAGTTCTCCTCCTCCTCCTCCTCCTCCTCCTCCTTCTCCTCCTCCTCTTCCTCCTCCTCCTCCTCTTCCTCTTCCTCCTCCTTCTCTTCCTCCTCAATGACCATGAACTGGGTGGAAAAGGAGGATTTTGACTCCAAAATTTCTGTGCATCCAACATTTTGATTCCAAAATTTTCATGTTTCCAGCATTTTGACTTCACAATATCCATGTATCCAATATTTTGCCTCCAAAATTTCCATGCATACAGATTTTTGACTCCAAAATTTCTGCGCATCCAAAATTTGCCTCCAAAATTTCCTTGCGTCCAATGTTTTGCCTCCAAAATTTCTTTGCATTCAATATTTTGACCCCAAATTCCTGTGCATCCAACATTTTCATTCCAGAATTTCCATGCATCCAATATTTTGGCTCCACAATATCCGTACATCCAATATTTGACTCCAAACTTTCTGTGTGTCCAATATTTTGATTCCAAAATCCTGTGCATCCAAAATTTGCCTCCAAAATTTCTTTGCATCCAGTATTTTTACACCAAAATTTCTGTGCATCCAATATTTTCATTCCAAAATTTCTGTACATTCGACATTCCGACTCCAAAATTTCCATGCATCCAAAATTTTGAGTCCAAAATTTCCTTGCATCCGATATTTTTACACCAAAATTTCTGTGCTTCAGAAATCTGCCTCTGACATTTCCATACATCCAACATTTTGCCTCCACAATATCCCTGTATCCAATATTTCGCCTCCAAAATTTCCATGCATCCAACATTTTGCCTCCAAAATTTCCATGCATCCAGAATTTTGACTCCAAAATTTCTGGGCATCCAACATTTTGGCTCCACAATATCCATACATCCAATATTTGACTCCAAACTTTCTGCGCGTCCAATATTTTGATTCCAAAATTTCCGTGCATCCAACATTCTGACTCCAAAATTTCCTTACGTCCAATATTTTGCCTCCAAAATTTCTTTGCATCCGATATTTTTACACCAAAATTTTTGTGCATCCAAAATTTTGCTTCCAAAACTTCTGCGCGTCCAAATTTTTGACTCTACAATATCCACGTCTCCAATATTTTACCTCCAAAATTTCCTTGCATCCAGTATTTTGACTCCAAAATTTCTGTACCTCCAACATTTTGACCCCGAAATTTCCATGCACCCAATACTTTGCAACAGCGAAACCCTCTGAGAAACACACACAAAAAAAAAAATCCCCCATTCTGGGGACTCCAAGAGGGTTTTCCTGGGATGGGGGTGAGGATTAACTGGGATCTCCCTCCCCTGGCAGTTTTGGGATCGATGCAAGCTCTTCCTCATGCCGGCCAAGCACCAGCCCGACTACGTGTTCCTGCGGCACGTCCCCCTGCGGCGCATCCACCTCTTCACCCTGGTGCAGATCATCTGCCTGGCCGTGCTCTGGATCCTCAAATCCACCGTGGCCGCCATCATCTTCCCCGTCATGGTAACTCCAGCCCGGCTTAGACTGGGATTTTTGGGATTTAAGGGGATTTTGGTGACCCCCCAGGGCTCGGGGTGAGAGGTGCTCCCGTGGATCTTCCATCACAAACATGCAGATGATCCCAGGCTGGGGGGGTAAAGCCCCGGGTCCAAGCCAGGAGCTGCCCAGGAGTTCTACTTATATTTAAGCCTCCAAGAGTTCCCACCCAACTCTTGGAGAGCCTTTGGTTCTTTATACCTTGAAGTCCTCTAAAGAGAACGTGCTATGAGCATTTCCCAAGAGACTTCTTTTAATTTAGGGAGGAAAGAGGCATTTTGGGAAAAGGTTCATAGGGTTAACAATCAAGGAGAAGGTCCCACTAAAGCACCCAGCACGTGACAGCCACAACTGAAGTAAAATACAACCCATCAGATTTGTCACCCACAGGAGGTTAAGGGAAGGGTAAAGAAAGAAAGGAAGAGAAGAGACTGAGAGAAGGAAGGAGTAAAGAAAGAGGTTAGAATGAGAAAATTGTACAGCCACCACTGAGAGGTCACAGGATGACAGGAGGTCCCAGGAGAGAAGGGCAAAATGGAGCCCCTGCATTCCCTGTATGGTCTGGCCAGCGTGGCCACCCCTCCCATGGGGGGACATCTCACAGAGGGGAGTGTGGATCTGCTAGAAGGCAGGAGGGCTCTGCAGAGGGACCTGGACAGGCTGGATCCATGGGCTGATTCCAACGGGATGAGGTTCAACCAGGCCAAGGGCGGGTCCTGCCCTTTGGCCACAACAACCCCCGGCAGCCCCACGGGCTGGGACAGAGTGGAGGGACAGAAAGGGCCCTGGGGGGACTGACTGACAGCAGCTGAACATGAGCCAGGGGGGCCCAGGGGGGCAAGAGGCCAATGGAGCCTGGCCTGGCTCAGGAATAGTGTGGCAGCAGGAGCAGGGCAGGGATTGTGCCCCTGCACTGGGCACTGGGGAGGCCACAGCTCGAGTGCTGTGCCCAGCTCTGGGCCCTCAGGTTGGGAAGGATGTTGAGGGGCTGGAGCAGGGGCAGAGAAGGGCAACGAGGCTGGGGAAGGGTGTGGAGCACAAGTGCTGTGAGGAGCAGCTGAGGGAGCTGGGGGGGCTCAGCCTGGAGAGGAGGAGGCTCAGGGGAGACCTTCTCACTCTCTGCAACTCCCTGACAGGAGGGGGGAGCCGGGGGGGGTCGGGCTCTGCTCCCAGGAACCAGCAGTAGGACAAGAGGGCACAGCCTTGAGCTGCCCCAGGGCAGGTTTGGGTTGGCCATGGGGAAGAAGTTCTTCCCAGAGAGAGGGATCAGCCCTTGGAATGGGCTGCCCAGGGAGGGGGTGGAGTCCCCGTCCCTGGAGGTGTTTAAGCAGAGCCTGGATGTGGCATCAGTGCCATGGTGGGGGGGACAAGGTGGGGTTGGGTCACAGGTTGGACTCGATGATCTCAGAGGTCTTTTCCAACCTGGTTGACTCCGATTCTGGGATTCCACTCTCGTTTCTCTGCCCTCATAGATTTTAGCCCTGATCCTGGTCAGGAGGCTGCTGGATTTTGTCTTCTCCCAACACGACCTGGCCTGGATCGACAACATCATCCCAGAGAAGGAGAAGAAGAAAGAGGACGACAAGAAGAAGAAGAAAAAAGGCAATAAAGGAGACAGCAGCAGTGATGAGGAGGTGGGTGAGGGGCTCCTGTGGACAGTGGGGACATTCCAGACCAGTGGGAGGGGAAGGTCCCACTGAAACTTCCAGGTTGGTGGGTTTGGGATGAAGATCTGTGACTCCTGGAAGTGTTTCACTGCAGAGATCCAACAGGCTGACTGGGGGGGTTTCAGTGACATTTAGGGGCTGGCAGGAGGCTCCAGGGAATGCTCAGACTGCCCTGAAAGCTGGAAAATTATGGCAAAAAAAAGAGAGAAGAGCTCAAATCCCACAGCTGAGGGTACAGAACCCATTGTGTGATGGCAAAGCATCGTTAACCCTGTCAGGGGGGAGTGGAAAGCTGAGACAAAGTTCATTAGAGAAGCCTCTTGAGGTGCAGAAAGGACCCCCAACACCCCCATAGACCCCCCAAACCTCCCAGGACTCCCTTGCATTCCAAAATCCTTCTCCCAGAGGAGCCTGGGGGTGGCTGGATCCAATCTTAGCCTTGGATTATGTCAACTGCTTAAATTTAAGGAATTATAGAAGTGTGATTGAACCACTTCTGTCCCACAGGTTTTAGTGAAGACAAATCAGACATATTTATATAAAATGAATTATTTATTATGACAAATGAACAGATGAAAGACCTTAATCAGAATTATTTACTATACAGTGTGAAAGCTAAAAACTACTAGTAGGGTGTAATATAAAGCAATTATATCCCAACAATTTTATCAAAGCTGGTAAAAAGAAACAATCATAAAGTAGAGGTTGATGGAACTCATGGATCATGGGCAGATCTCTCATGGAACCCCTGGAGAGTGACCATGAAGAGGTCATGGGAGAAGCTCCACACACTCCAGGAATGTCTGTGGAAGAATCTGCCCTGTGGAGGTTGGACTGGGCTTTTAGAGTTATAAAATCACTGACTGCAGGTCAGTCAGCAGCTCACCTGCCAAATCCTGCTCCAAAAAGCAGGAGGTGTGTTCGAAGTTTTGCTGGTTTGAGCCCAATCCAACACTAAAAGCAGCCTCTTGGCACCAGGGATAGCTCAGTTGGATTGTTTGGATTCTGTGCCTGGATTCCAGGCCAAACACATCACCCTAAAATTGGCTCTTAAAAAAAAACAACCCAAGACACAATTTGTGAGCTTTAGGAAGCAGCAATTCCTTTTATTGTGATGACATCAGATGCACAAGAATTTAATTTCTTCCAAAGCATGCAGAGGTCCAAAAGCCTCTTGCTTTTATTTAGTTGCCTAATTAATTAATCGAGTTAATTATTCAAACCTGATACTGTTACACCCACTTCCAAAACAGCCCCTCCCACAGTACCACCCTCGACACATCTCCCAAATTTGAGTTAGAGGTCCTAAAGACCCCTCCTTCCTCCTCATCCTCCTCTTCATCATCATCATCTTTTGTCCTTCTTGGAACAGTTTCAAGGCTTCTGGGTCTTCTGAATAGTTTGGACCTGGTTATATTGAGCAGTGGGCCTGTTATGTCTTATTCTAAGAACATTTTCTACAGGAAAAAAATGTTCTTTACCTCACTGAAAATCTTTTGCCTGTTGGAATCCTTGACAAGAAATATTAAACAGCATTTCGGGAATCTCGTACAAAAGGTGCTTTGATAAAAGTTCTGTTCCAAAAGTGCTAAAAAGCTCCACTGAAATGGACATAATATTTATTTTAAGGCATCACCTTCTCAGGGCAGAGCCTCCTGCTGCAGACCCTGCCAGGGGATTTGGGATGATGAAGGCAAATCCTTTTCCTCCTGCACCCAGCTCTCCAGGTTTTGGGTGCCTGTGGGTGCTCCAGGTGGTCTCAGAGCCCACCCAAGCACTTCTTTCACCGAATTTCCCCATTTTTTCCCCAGTTCCCACCTCCCTCATTCATTAAGATCCCCATGGAGCCCCTCCCAGCGCAGCCCCGAAATGGGGGCCCCCATTGCCTCAGCCGTAAGTAACGGGCTCAGGAGCCTCTCCCGCCTTCCCTGCTGCTTCCTAACCCCCTCCACGGCACCCACTCGGCTTCCCATGGCACTAATCCTGCTGGAAGATGCACCCTGGATCCCTCCTGCTCCTGCTCCCCAGGATCAGGGCTAAAATCAAGGAGGGGAGAGTGGGATCTTCAAGAGCATCTCTGACCCCGAGACCAGGGGACCACCAAGATTTCCTTAAACCTCAACAAAAGCCAGGACTCTCCTGGGTTTCATCCCCCACAGTGGGGATTCTAAAAAATATATATATATATATACATTTGGGAATGTTTGCAGCCCCCCAAGCAGGGGGTGCAGAGCTCGTGTTGGAATTCCCCAGATTTGTTCGATTTGGCTCAACCTTCCCAACAGGAGCGACCAAAACCACGCAGGATAAATTTTGGGTGGGTTTGTTCCAGGTTGCATCACGACTCCAGCAAGTTTTGACTGGCTAATTCACTAACTGGGCCCTCACATGGCTCTTGGCAGGGCTGGCAGGGCCTTGTCTTCCTCTAATCACCCCCCAAAATCAGCATTTCCCAGGAGCTTTTCTCCCGCTCCCACCGCCCGGAGGATGCAGGACCTGGTGACAGGTTGGAGTGGGGGGTGAGGGGGTTTTTGGTTTGTTTTTTTTTGGGGTGGGGGGGAGATTCTGCCTCACCTGGGGAATGTTTCACCTCCATGTCCCCCCAGGAAAGAGGGCCTCCACCTGGAGCTTTGCGTTCTGATTCCTCCCCGAATGGTTCAGACATGGATCGCAGGTAAACGGCCCCAAAAGGGGTCCCCCACCCTCTCCCCCCTCCCCGGGGGGACATTTTTGGGATAACCCACCACTGCTCCTGGCTGGGTATCACCTTCTCTAGCCAGTTGGCACCACCCAAACATCCAGTTTTATTTCCACACCATCCCTCTGGATTTGGGGTGGTTTCGTTGCCAAACAGGTTGTTGGGAGAGGGGCTGCACCAGAGGGTTTGGAGCCATAAAAACACTGCTGAGCAACAGTCACAGGGATTTTTAGGATAGGGGTGTCTCCAAATCCTGAAATTTGGGGTTATTCTCTGCAGATAAAAGGCAAAATATCAGTTTTAATTAATTTACTGGCAGCGGCAGCACGTGGAGTGTTTTCCCGAGGGTCTCAGGATGGTTTTGGGATGGATTTTGCCTCCCAAATTTCCATGCATCCAACATTTTGGCTCCAAAATTTCTGTGAATCCACTGTTTTTTCTCCAAAATTTCCGTGCATCCAATAATTTCACACACAGTATCCATACATCCAATAATTTGACTCCAAAATTTCCATGCACTCAATACTTTGAATCCAAAATTTCTGTGAATCCAACATTTTGACTCTAAAATATCTGCATATCCAATATTTTGCCTCCAAAGTTTCAATATTATGGCTCCAAATTTCCGTGCATCCAACATTTTGACTCCGCAATATCTGTGCATCCAACATTTTGACCCCAAACCAACCTTTTGACTGCAAAATTTCCACATGGTCCAATACTTTGACTCTTAAAATTTCCGTGCATCAAACATTTTGACTCCAAAATTCCTGTTCATCCAACATTTTGACCCCACAGCATCCATGCATCCAGTACTTTGACTCCAAAATATCTGTGCATCCAATACTTTGACTCCAGAATTTCTGTGCATCCAATGTTTTGACTCCAAAATTTCCACATATCCAATACTTTGACTCCAAAATCTCCATGTATCCAATACTTTGGCTCCAAAATCTCCATGTATCCAATACTTTGACTCCAAAATCTCCATGCATCAAACATTTTGACTCCAAAATTTCTGTCCATCCAACATTTTGACTCCACAGCATCAATGCATCCAATACTTTGACTCCAGAATTTCTGTGCATCCAATGTTTTGACTCCAAAATTTCCACATATCCAACACTTTGACTCCAAAATCTCCACGCATCCAACATTTTGACTCCAAAATTTCCATGTATCCAATACTTTGGCTCCAAAATCTCCACATATCCAATACTTTGACTCCAAAATCTCCACACATCCAACCTTCTGATGGGTTTGGCTGTTGACTCTGCTCTCTCCTCCTCACATTCCCTTTCCCCTCACGATTTCCTGCCCATCACCCAGAGCGTTTCCCGAGGGTCTCGGGGTGGTTTTGGGGTGGGGGATCCCACAGTCAGCTGCTGATTCCCGTCTCTCCTCCTCATTCCCAGTATTACCCTCCACCTGAAGATTTCCTGCCCGTCCTCTCCTGCCTTTAACTACTCCCGGAGCCCGATCTGTGCCGTGCCCCAGGTGAAGATCGAGATGGAGTCGGATTACGAGGACACGGACACGGAGAAGGCCCCGCGGGACATGGGCAGTGAGACCACGTTATAGCCCCCCCAGCCCCCAGTTTATAGAGAGAGAGAGACACCTGCACATTCACATATATATATATATATAAAGGAAATCGGGCTTATTTTTCTATGGGAGACTGGAGGCCCCGGGGGTTTTTGCTCCAGGGGTTTTTAGTGCCGTGAGGTGTTGGGTCCCCGCCCTTCCCGCTGGGAAACGGGGCTGGAAAGGTGGAATTGGTGATTTTGGCCCCGGAGCTGCTGCGGGGCTGGAGCAGCTGGAGGGGGTTGGGATGTGGGAGCAGCTGATGTGCTGGAGGAAAAGGGGGGTGACGCTTTTTGGGGGGGGTTTGGGGTAGGGAGGAGGGTTGAGCGGCTGAGGGAGATTTGGCCCTGCTCCCAAATCCCTGGAATTGCAACGTGGCTCTTGGGGAGACTTGTTTTGGGAAGGGGGTGTGTTGGCAGCAGGGTGCTGGTCCTTTCCATGGGATCCCAGGTGTGGTGGGAGCGTCCAGAGGGACCTGGATCTGCTGGGATTGGGCTGAGGAGGAGGAGGAAGAGGAGGCACAGCAGGATGGAGAGGAGCCTGGAGCTCCAGGGAGGGAAGGGAAGGAGGAGAAGCAGCTCGGGGTGAAGGTTGTTGCCACTTGAGGGCAACAACAACCAGGCTGTGGAGCAAGAGCAGGGCAGGGAATGGGGCCTTGGTTTCTGCAGGAAATTGGGAATGGTTTCTGCAGGAAACAGGAATGGGTTCTGCAGGGAAACAGGAATGGGTTCTAGAGGGAAACAGGAATAGGTTCTACAGGGAAACAGGAATGGGTTCAGTAGGAAACAGGAATGGGTTCTAGAGGGAAACAGGAATAGGTTCTACAGGGAAACAGGAATGGGTTCTGCAGGGAAATCAGGAATGGGTTCTGCAAGGAATTTGGAACACTTTCTGTAGGAAAGAGGAAAGGTTTTTGTAGGAATCAGGAATGGTTTCTGCAGGGAACTGGGAACAGTTTCTGTAGGAAAGAGGAATGGTTTCTGTAGGAATCAGGAATAGGTTCTGTAGGGTATTGGGAATGGTTTCTGCAGGGAAATGGGAACAGTGGCTGCAGTGAAGCCCTTTGGTGGCCCATCCCCATGTCCTCACCATGGCTCTCCAGGGCCACCCCTGGCCCGGGAACAGCCCCGTCCCTTCCTCTGGGTGGGAGTGAGACAGTCCCAAGCCAGGAGCGAGACAGACATTCCCAAGCCGTGCTCTCACTGGAGGAATTCTCTCACTGGAGGAATTCAAGGATTCTCTGCTGCCCAGCCCTGTCCAAGGGGCTTCACTCCCACTTCAGCTCCTCCATCCTGGTCATTCCCAGCGGTTTAACAGCCGGTGGCTGGAACAGGGAGGGGAGAACAAGCACCTGGAGCAGGGAGGGCAGAGCCAGGACAATCCCCCCTGTGCTCCAGGCTCACACCCAGCACCTCCCTGCCGGGTGTCCATCAGCATTTCAGCTCCATAACGGGCTCTTCTCACCCACAGCCACCTCTGGATCCTCTGGGAGAGGAAGGGAAGGGAGAAGGTTTGGAGCCAGGGAGGCTCCGAGCTCCCTTTGGCTCTGCCCAGCTCCCACACCTTTTTTCCAGCAGCACCAGGGCAGTGCTGAGGCTTTCAAGGATTTTTTTCCCTCCACAGACCAAGCCCAAACACTGCTCTGAAACAACCCTCAAATCTGTTTCTTTTACTCATTTTTCTCTAGTCGAATTCTGTATTTTTTTTTCTCTATTTCCAACCTCCCAGAGCCCCAAACCCCTTCCCCAGGAGCAGGACCACCCTGCCTGATATTTACACCAGCACTACTGGGGTTTCTGGGCCACCAGTTAAATATTGCAACTGGTCTGAACCTTTGTGTGGGACAGATCCCTGTAAATAGTCAAAGCCAACAGAGACTTGAAGGCAATTTCCTATTTATAGCAATTTTTTTTCTGGTTCAGGTGCATTTCCCAGGGAGAGGGGGTGAGAGAAATAACACATTGTTACCCTATCACCACTTCAGTGTTCATGAACAGTCAGAACCATTTCAACTCGAAGGCACTGTGTCTATTTTGTAGCGTTTTGTACCAATCCTGTGTGGTAGAAGCATCGTAGGCTTATGATTTTAATCAACCGGGTTAATTCGCTTTATCCAGCCCATCAGCTCTATTTCCACCACCACTGGACAGGCTTTGTGGACTCTGGTAGCTGTTCCACAGGGCAGAGCTGAGGCCACTGTAGAATCCAGCTTGTTTTTGGCTCAATTTGTCCATTTTGCACCGTGGTTTCTACTTTTTGTATGAGCAAACGGAGCGTCCGAGATTCGCCGCCTCCAGCCTGGGACCACTGTCACATTTTGTATTTCTTGGATAAAACCCAATAAACCTCGTTTCAATGAGTCTCAGCTCTTAGTGTGTTTCTGCTGCAGAGCCCCTGAATCCCAGATTTCCTTCCCCCGTGTTTTTATCAGGGCTCCCCCCTCCAGGAGAGGGGGTTTGGCACCAGCTCCGCTGGTACCTCCAGCCCGTCAAAGGTTGGAAAAGCCTCCAAGATCAAGTCCAGTCGATGGCACCACAATATTCCTGCTCTCAGGAAGGTGGGACCAGTCACTCCAGGGAATATGTGAAGAGGAAAGAGTCCAAGATTCACCTCACTGCCCATGGATAATCCTGCAAGGAAGTTTTTCCACCCTGCTTCACCTCAGGTAAGGTTGATGTTCACGGGATAATTAGAGCTTAAAAACATCCTTCATGCTGTGATGTGGATTTAGCTGAGAAATAAGACTCAGGGAGCTGAACAGGTTTTGATCAGGCTTGAAAGGAAGAGATTTGCTTGCTTTTAAGGCCAGTTGGTGCTGGTGGAGCAGTTGTGTCTCAGGTAGGCTCTGGGTGGAAGCCAGACCTGCCTCTGCTCTGGGGGAATAGCTCACCCCACAAGTGCCCTAAAAACAACTAGTGCAGCTTTTCTAGAAGTGAAATAGTTGACTAGTAATAATTCCAGGGCACAAACAGGGATTTTTTTTGTCTTCTCACACTTTATTTAGTTAGCCTGCATTACTCACTAGTTACACACTTCATAACACAGCCCAGGGAACCTCCTGTGTGCCCTCTGTGGACACCAAACCCTCCCCACACTGTTCTTTGGTTAGAAAAAAAAGGCTTTTTAAAAAAAATTCACCAACCAAACAGCAAAAAACCCCAGCTTAGCTGCACACTAGGACATGTTACAACAGCTCTGCCACTGCCCAGGGCCCTGCCCAGCCCCAGAGCACAAATATGGCTTTATTTTTAATTTTTCAAGTAACTTCTTCTACAGAAGAGCTCGAACTAAACATCCAGCATTGAGCAGGAGACCAGCCCAGGCCACGCTCCAGATCTGTGAGAACAGAACCATCAAGGCTTTGTACCATGGAGCAAATCCCAAGGGACTGCTGACCGAGCTCCCGGGAAAGCTGCATTCCCAGGATCCCAAATCCCTGCAGGAGCAGGTCTGGCTCACACATAAAGCAGCTTTACAAGCAGGAGGAGCACAGGCATGAAGATTCACACACCTCAGTACCACCAGATGCAGCTGCTTCAGCTCCAATAAATACCTGCGACCTCCGAGTGGGAAATTTCCCATTCCAAGACAATAAATAAAAAAATATTGCATTTTCTATCGGCCTGTTTGGGAGTCAGTTTGGAATGTTGCTTTCAGTGCTACAAAGGAGAAGGATGGTCAAGCAGTCAGTGCTTCCAACTCTTTGGGTTTCAGCAGCTTCTTGGCAGCAATGATGGTGTTTTTCATCAGCATGGCCACGGTCATGGGCCCCACTCCCCCCGGCACCGGGGTGATGTAACTGGCCTTCTTCCTCACCCCTGGGGAGGAAAGGCACAGCTCAGCAGCAAAACCAACAGCAGTAACAATTCCCAGCCTAAAAGCCCCCAGATCCCTCCAGGATCATCATTTAGGAACAGGAGTTTCTCCACGGGGCCTTTTCCCCATTATCCAGCCCCACTCTCTCCATCCCTGCTGCTCTAAACCAGCCCAACTGCAAAGCCCAGGCTGGGGAAGAGCTCAAAGGAAGGACTAAAGGATCTAAAGTAAGGTCTAAAAGCTGGTTTCTAGCACAGAAGTGTCAAATCCAAGACTAGGTGTGGCCTTGATGTTGGTACTTCATCAATCTGGACATTCACCCTCTTTTCCTTCCAGGAGGAAATTCCAAGGTCTTTCCCCAGGCTCATCCCAACAGCCCCTGTGGGGCTGCAGCTCCGGGAGGATCAAGGCCAGGGAATACAGGGCAGGAGGTAAGTTCTGCATGGCTTTATTTTAAAAGAAGTTTTGGAATAGAGGCAAAGTGACCCAACAGGGTGAGTCTCCTCTGCAGCTTTCCCATGGCATGTCCTGGGATAACATGGAACAATATTGGATGAACCAGACACATGAACCAGGACTTTTCCTCCCTTCACAGCACCCAAGTGCTCCAGAATCCACACCCAGAGCCTTTCCATACCTTCAAAATCCACGTCCCCAACCAGCCTGGACTTGGCAGTGACAGGATCCTGCACTCTGGTTATTCCCACATCAATCACTGCAGCTCCTTCTTTGATCATGTCAGCTGTGATCAGGTTGGGAATGCCTGGAAAAACACAGAACTACACCCTCAGGGGTGTTAAACAGCCCCCCTGCTCCTCCTCACCCACATTCCCAGCATGTTCTGACCCATCTGGGCCTTCCTGCCCCCCAGACCAGCTGCACTCCATAATCTTCAGGGTCTTTTCCAACCTAAATGATCCTATGAAACACAAATCTACAGGAGCACATTTCAGCTACTGATGTGCAGCTCAGTCAGATATTTCACTTTCAAACTGAAAGAGGGGAAATTTTAGGTTGGATATTGGTAAGAAATTCCTCCCTTTGAGGGTGGGGAGGGGCTGGGATGGAAGTCCCAGAGAAGCTGTGGCTGCCCCAACCCTGGAAGTGTCCAAGGCCAGGTTGGAGCAACCTGGTTTAGTGGAAGGTGTCCCTGCCCATGGCAGGGGGTGGCACTGGATGATCTCCAAGGTCCCTTCCCACCCAAACCATTCCATGTTCTTGCCCATCTCTGGCAGCTCCAGCTCCGTCCCACCAGCAGCACTGGGGGTCTCAGACCCTCCTCAGCTCCAGCCCAGAGGCAGCTGAAAGACTTGGGATTAACCTGTCACTGGAATGGATTTAAATGCCAGGGAGTGGGGGGAGATGGGATTTTGGGAAGGGATTCTTCCCTGGGAGGGTGGGGAGGCCCTGGCACAGGTTGCCCAGAGAAGACCTGAGAGCCCCTTCCAGGGCCTAAAAGGGCTCCAAGAGCTGGAGAGGGACTTGGGACAAGGGATGGAGGGACAGAACAAGGGGGAATGGCTTCCCAGAGCCAGAGGGCAGGGATAGATGGGATACTGGGAAGGAATTGTTGGCTGTGAGGGTGGTGAGGAGCTGGGATGGAATTCATGGAGAAGCTGTGGCTGCCCCATCCCTGGAAGTGTCCAAGGCCAGGTTGGAGCAACCTGGGCCAGTGGAAGGTGTCTGGGGGTTGGAACAACATAATCTTTAAGGTCCCTCGACCATTCCATGATTCCATGTTTCTGTTTGAGATGTTCCCTGAGAACTCAGAGCAAAGAGCTGGAATCCACACCCAGGAAGCTCTGGGACCTCACACCTTCTCCACATGGAATCCTCAAAGCATTTGAGGTCTGTGGCTGTTTGGTGCAGCTCCAGCAGGTTTTCCAGCTGCACTGGGGCAGGAACCTGGAGCAGAGCCTGATCCCACCCCAGCCCAGCCTGGCAGAGGCTCTGGATTTATCCCAGGGCTGTCCCAGAGGGACAGGGAGGGGTGGGAGCAGCAACTTGGGGCTCAACCTCCCTTTTAGGGTGGGGTGTGTTTGTCTGGTTCAGCCAGATACTGAGGGGAAGAACTGAGAGACACTGAAATATTAACAATTAATGACTCAAACAATCACTTCCAGGGGCAGCAAGTGCTTTGCTGACCCATCACTATTATTAGCTAAGGGAGAAATTTCTTGCCACTGTTGGAATCAATATTCTTCCCCAGTCCTTCATTTTTTCTAACAATTTTCAAGTTTGTCACAAACATCCTTTAGTTCTCCTAATTAAATTTCACATCAACTCTTTTCTTTGGAGAGGTCAGTTCTGCTGGGGATGAACTTTCTAAATTTCTAAAATGAAATTAATAAAAATATCAGGCATTTTATAGAAAAATAACTGTGAGGATGTGTTAAAATTGACATTGGGAAATAAAGTGCTGTCCAAGATGTGCAGAGGGGGGTGAACACCAGAGGGTGACCACAACAAATCAACTTTTGATTAGCCATGAGCTGGTTTTTGAGCCAGATCATGGAAGAGGCTGAGAAGAAGCAGGTCCTGGAGGTGGGATGATGATTTTTATCATCCCAATGTCCTCCCTCACACACCTGGCCCAGGTGGAAAACCCCCCTGGGGGAGTATCAGGACATTCCCTCATAGGGCTGAAGGTTTTCATCCTTCAGATGGGGCAGAACTGGCTCAGCCACACTGTGAGAGGAGCTGTCATGTCTTAAAGGGCCATAAACCACCAAAGACCCCTAAAGTGCCCCCAGATTCATTCTTGGGGCTTCCACCAGAGTTTGGCACATGAGCCATCAGCCAGGGGAGGCACCTGGGCCTTCCCACCTGAACCTGAACGTGGATTATCCCATTATCCATTGTGGGTTTGATGCCTAAAGTGTCCTAAGGCATCATTCTGGGGGCTTCCCCCATCCCTGATGGGTCAAGACTGACCAACAGACATCAACATTCCAACACTGGAACCCACAGCTGGTGAGATCTTCCTACTCTGATCTTTTCTTTTTTTTCCCCTTATACATTTTCTGAAGTGTTATATTCATGCTTTTATATTGCTGCATGTCCACAGATAATAAAACAGCTCCATCCCTCCTTTCCATTGCAACCAAACTGATCTAAAATAATTTATATATGTAAACACTGATCAATCAGTGTCCTTTCACTCCAATCCACCCCAAGGGATCTATTAACAATGACCTGAGTTCCCTTCACTCTTAGGGCTGGGTTTTAACAGGAATTCCCTCCCACCCTTGTTTTTTCTCATCCATGTGACCCTCCCTCTGCTCCACTCACACCTTCCCAGGTGACTCCATCCCCTTCTGTCCTTACACACCCCCAAACCTCCCACACTTTCTCTTCACACCCAGTTCTCACCTTACGCTTTCTCTCCTCCCTCCCCACAGGCTCCCACCCACCTGCTGCCAAAAAGACCCTCCAAACCAGCTCAGCTCCTCTGCCAAGGGGACAGTCTGGAGCAGGGCACAGCTCTGAGTAGATCCTCAAGCTCTGGGGGTGCCTCTGCAGCTGCCCCAGGTAAGCAGATCTTATCTTGGTAATTATTTTCTTGGTATTTTTTCTCATCCCACATAAATACAACAGAAGGTACAACAGAGCCTGTTGTTATACAGCTGAATAAGAGCCTTATGGGATGGGTCAGGAACTGGCTCA